GCTACTACAAGACAGGATTCCAACTAAAATGAACCTACTGACAAGAGGAATCATCAAGGACATTCGAGAATGCAAGTGCGGAATTTGTGGTGAGGAAGAAGAGGACACAAAGCATTTATTCTTAAGATGTAATATGGTCCGATGGTTATGGATGGCTTGTGCAAAGTGGTGGGGAATTAAAGTTACTTTGGAAGAGGACTGCTGGAACACTTTCCGAAATCATGAAAGAGAACAAAAAGAGAAATGTATTAGAGACGGATGGGATTGCATCTGGAATTTTCTAGTGTGGACTGTGTGGCTGGCCCGTAACCACAAAGTTTTCCAAGGCAAAGAGATTATCCGGGAGAAGCTGTTGGAGCTCATTCAATTAAAGTCTTTCCACTGGATCACAACAAAAAAAGAAAGGTATGCCTTCACGTTAACGGACTGGTTTCTTAATCCAATAGCATGCTTGAAAGAGTGCCGCAAGAAAAGAAGTGTACCAAATGAATTTGTAGTAGGAGGAGAGGGTTGTTGATTTCTGGGAGGTCTTGTCTATGATTTTTGCTTCTGAGGGTTGATTTGTTGAGTTATGGGGGCTCACAAAGGTTATATTGAGCAATTATTGACTGTAGTAGTTTCAGCTATAGTCAATACATGATCAATACCTCATGGGTCTATTGGGGTGTTTCGGGTGAGGGTTGTTGATCTGAACAGGGTGATATGATGAATTGGCAAAAGAGGCCAGAATCCTCGTCACGGACATAGTGTCGACACTTGTTTTGGGTGTCGACACCTTACATTAAGTTTTTGTTATCTGCTGGTTTGAAGCACCCTTTGTATTCCGATTATTAATAAATAGCTTTTTGCTGTTCAAAAAAAAAAGTTTTTTTGATTAATTCAATTAAAATTTTAATTAATTGAAATATTTCACTTCGATTGATGATAAAAGTTTTTTTTTTTTTTTACTTGAAAAGATTAAAAGAAATTTGTTAATTGAATGAACCATATTAAAAAAAATTCAAATTTTCAGTAATCAAAATTGAATTTTTGAATTAGGTTTAGTTATTAAAATAAAAATTACTAATCAAAATAATAAAAGATTGGAGAGAGAGTTTCACTTATTTTTTTAAAAATTTAATATTTATTTAATTAAAATTAATGAGTACTTAAAATTTTAATTATTTGTCAAAAAAGAGTATTATAAACATCTTAAAAAACTCTAATATACTTATGAGAAATTTAATTAAATTATTTTCACTTATATAAGATTTAAAATTTCACATTTACTTAATTTAAAGGAAAGGGCTATTGTATTTTTGTATTAACAAAGCTTAAAATTAAAAAGCCTTATATATTATTTTTTTAAAAGATAATACCTTACCATTATAAACTTTTAAAATTATAAGAATTTTTTAGAAAAGATAGAGTTTATGTCTAACTCCTCCCACCCTTCTATTAGGAACTTGAAACCTTAAGATTGAAGTTTCTTTTTTTCTTTTTTCTTTTTTTTTAAGAAAAAGAAAAAGAAAAGGATTGAAGTTTTTAGTTCAAAGGATTTGATGGAAAGAAGATGACAATATTCTTTATATTATAGCCTAATAATTAAATGTACCAAAGAAATATGTCACTTAACAAAGGCGCCCCATGACTTATATGAGCTGCAGGGCAGGTATTTATTGATTAATTGTTAATTTAATGATAAAAAAGACCGCAATGCATTAATGCCTAACATGAAAATTAATGGTAGGTTTCCCGTGACCTAAGGACGAGCAAAAAAATAGAGATGCAAACCTCTCCATTCTCCAATTCTCCATGAATGTGGCCCTGTCTGAGGTTGAAGATTCCCAACAATAATAATGTAGATAACCTCAGTTAACAACCATCCATAAATAATTTACGCGGAAGTTATGCCATGCATGACTCCTAGAAGAGTTGACATTCATAATAGCAGTTGGCTTTAAGCAAATGCTGGTTGTTAGAAATGTGTAACACATGTTTTTGGTCAGGATGCCTTTAATACCCAATGTGTGTGTAAAGTATTGTGCGCAATCTAAATTGTATTACACTGTATAACTATAACTATTGATGGAGGATGGATTTTTTAATATGAGCGACTCTCTTATCATCTAATGATCCTTATTTTTCAGTTCTGTGCAATCTGAATTGTAAAATAAAAACCTCTATATATATTAAAAGTAGAGGGATTATAGTTGACTTTAACCCTATATACAATGGAAGAAATGTATGTACATGAAATTCGAGGGTAAAACCATATGTTAAGTCCCTAAACCAATTCTAGATTTATTATTAAGCTCTCAAATTTTAATTGATGTATATAAGCCCTTAGATTCCACAATCTAAGCAATTTAATTCTTATTTTTATGGTAATATAGCGCTTATTCTTATGATAGTTAAAGAATTAAGAGCTAAATTATTTAGATTGTGGAGTCTAAGGGTTTGTATGCATCAATTAAAGTTTGAGAGCTCGATGACAAATTTAGGTTTAGTTTAGGGGCTTAACATATAATTTTGCCGGATTTAAGTACATACTTACATGCCTAGTACGGATTACATCGGACATTCAAATCACATAACATGATATAAATATATGAAACGACAATCCTTTAACTTCAGTTCCAAAATATATATATATACATGTTAGAATTTAAATATTTTAATAAAAAATAAAATAATAAAATTTATAAATTAAATTTATTGTCTCATTAAGAATTTGGTTAAACTAACCGTTATAGGTTAATTGTTCTATTTAATGACACATTATTTTATAATAATTGCCCAATTTATTCATATCATTAACTTATAAATAAAAGTTATAAGACCATGAGTCCTATAAATAAGATATGTCTATTTGTTCAAAGCAAAGAGTTCCTCCACATTCTCCTATTTTCCTTATTTTACTTTATTTTCTAAATATTTTTGGGTAAAGAAGAGTATTTTGAGTTAGGTAACTCTATGAATGGTGCATAGTCATATGGTGTTATTATAAAACTGTAGTATCCTAGAGATGACATGCTAAATATATCTCTATTGCAACAGTTGATCTACTCTTCACAGAGGCGTGAATTACTTTAAAGTAAGTAAGCTTTTCATGCCTATTTTGGTGATATTTTCTTATTGATATTTTCTAATAAGTTCACCAATTATTATTTTATTTGATTTTGTGATTGAGGCACAACAATCACATGATGTGGAGATGGAGGAGAGTGTTTGAGGAATAACAATTTTAAGGCGATTCAATATGTAAAACAAAAATGGAAACATCTACCACCTTGTGTAAGCAAAATACTTTCTTGATTCTGTGTGTGCCAAGCAGGTATGGGTTTCTGACACTCTTGCGATATTTGATGCTCTATCTATTTAGTGAATCATTATCCAATATTCTAATTGTATACTAGAAATATTGGAAACTTGAAATGATAACTTATGGCTCCATGAATTTTCTTGGGTTAAATACACGGAGTTATTATCATTGTATAGCTTGCGTGAATTGTAATCATAAGCATGAGTAATTCTTGTTTTTGTATATTAGTAGTATATCATGGAATAGTTGTTCTGTTAAATATTAATTTGGTACATTAAATTTGTTATTCCACTCAATTAGTAGTTTGATGATGACATACCAACCATTTGATATCCGATCAATATTTCCATAATTATTATATAAATTACTTGGATTTTTTGACATCGATGTCTTTGCTGATGAATGGCTTTATTTCTAACGGTTAAAAAAAAAGAAAAGAAAAGGAAACTTTCCGTTCATGCAAGCATGTGGCATTACTATGTAGACATGATAGTTACCTTTACCCAGCATTCATGTCTAGTCTTAATGACATTATGATTTACTGTTAAACGTTAGAAATGAATGTGGATTTCTTGGGCAAATATATGTGTGATAATTGATAGCTTAATGTTATTAGCCGTTGGTATTAAATATATATTAAATTTGTACGAGTTAATTAATAGATTAATGGTGCATTTTGGCCATTACTAGTGCTATAATGACTATATTTATAAGAATTATTAACTAGTTGTTTGCTTTTAATGCATATGGTAAATATTTGGTTCATTTCCAATAGCTATGAAAGAAAAAATTTATGAATAAATTTGTGAATTTAATTAATCATATTATTGAGTTATTTGGTGAAACATGTGAAAATTTTGAGAATCAGAGAGTTACCCAATTTGATCAATACAATAATTTTGAAAAAATGGACTTGAAATTTGGGTTGATATATTCTGGAAACGTAAGTTAAATTTTTAAACTTGCACGAGGAGCCATTTATGGCGATAAAATGTGAGATGAACTAATATTGTCACGCCCCAGAACCCAAATCCGAGGACGTGGCAGACGTCGTGCACTCGTGAGAGGATCTCACAAATGCACAAGGCTCGAAACTTATCAAATTCACATATGACAATCCACAAAATCTGAAGATCAAATTTTATAATTTGCTCTAATATCATAAATCTCCAATTAAAATCTCCAAATACAAGATCATGATTTATTTCTAAAATTTTATATCCAATTACAATATGGCTAGCCTTCTAACTCGTCACTTCCCGTGATTTCCCCGTCCTCGGTTTCATTTCCTGAAATGGTGGACAAAGAAAAACTATGAGATAAACTCAGTAAGTAAAATATGGAGTGCCCTTAATTACTTATAGCATGCCCTTAATTACTTAAATTTCGAGTAGGCATGCTCAATTTAATGAAAAACATAAAGATTTCACTTCAATCGATCATACTTGTGTAAAACAGGTTTAGTCCTGCCACCACTTCAAAAACAAATCAAAACATGCTTTTAAAAACTATACAGGCATTACCATAAATTTACTTACCTCAAATCGCATAAAACCGAAAACTCGATCTCAGTGCTAACTGACAGAACGATTGGGAACCTAATCAGAATATCCAAGAATCAATACCATACTATCACAAATTCAAATTGAAATCATCATTAAAATAATCCCTAATCACAATGCTATTTTCTATCAATCTCCACATTATCAAATATCTCCAAATTTATTCTTATATCACAAGCTAATCATTTAAATCCCCGTTAATTGTTGGCCCTCGGGGTGTGAACAGTACCGATAAACAGTGCTCGTGAACAGTAACCCCGACGTAAACAGTAACTCCAACTTCCAAAAATTGGCCAAAACACTAATTAATTCACGGGATTTTTCTCCAAAAATCACACAGCAGTCAATTAACACTCAATCACATAAATACCACTTGAATTAAGCTAAATCATGGTCTAATTACTATCAATTTTCTCCCCTAATTTAGCAAACATTCGGACAACTTATGGGGCAGTAATTAACTAATAAAATTTCGGGCTCGGAGCTGTCAACATACCAGAATTTCCAGCTGCAGAAACCGGAGCTGCAGGGGGAAGAGGCCGGCGGCAAGCTGCAGGGAAAGCTCACGGGTTTACCCAAAATTTCAAGAATCAAAAGCACAAATTAGAGTAACCCAAGTTAGTTTAAGGCTGAAAGGAGGAGACCCATGGCTGTTCTTACCGGAAAATCAAAGCAATTCGCCCCCACAACAAGAGCAGCCGGCGGACAGAGCAAAGCAGAGCAGGGCAGATCCGGATTTTCCAGCAGAGGGGAAGAGATTTCTGGGTTCTATATGGGTTCTAGAACAAGAAAAGAAGGCCAAAACCAAGCTTATCTCACCGGTTTCTCAAAGGCTGGTGCCGGGTTCCCCTTTTTTTTTTCTCGGGTTGCAGCAGGGAGAAGAAGGAGAGCAGGCGCGGGTCTGAGGAAGGAAAGAAAGAAAGAAAAAGAAAAAGAAAAGAAGCCATCCTTATCCAATTATTTTTCTCTTTTAAGTCCCTCACTTTTGAAATTTTGGCAATTAAGCCCAAAACAATATTTTCCTCACACAAAGGTCCCTAACTTATATGATAAAATTCCCGAAAATTTGGGATATCACAAATATGCTCTTATGAAATTTTGTAAGCAAATGAGTTTCTTCATGAACTCAATTATTTGAAAAATGTGAAAATCACATATTTGAGATGTTCCCAATGTGTGGGATTATTATGATATCCCTATGTATTGTTATTGGTGATGAGACTAATGGTGCCTAATTGAAATTTTGTATAGCATTCCTATTATACAATAAGGTATAATGGTGCTTAATAAAGCAAATGTGATATACACTCCTATTATACAATTATGGTATAACGGTGTACAATGAAAAAGAATAAGACACTATACTTGAATAGAAGGGATATACTATGATGGACATTCTTATTGTACAATAAGATACAATGGTGTTTGAGTTAAAAATTCTTAAATACATGTTTTGACATGTATGGAAAGAAAAAGGTGGTTCACTAGCTCGATATAAAAAATTGTGATACCATGAATTGAGAATTTGAAAAATATGAATGTGAATTTTATGAGCTAGTAGACATGTGGGTTGATGTGAAAAAGTGAGAAAAAGAATGAGTTGAATCTCTTTTTACCCACTATACCACCAATTAGGCCTTTGGTAAAGAGAAAAGTTGAAGGAAAATCTATGATCATAGTCCAAGATCTAGTGCTCATCAAGGGGGATGGGATTCAAGCCCAATAATATAGAACTTCCTATGAGGATACCTAACCCGAATTCTAAGAATTGGGTTTTGAATGGGAAAAATGAATCATAGAGAAGTCATTGTTGAAAGATGCATCAATATTTAATGGAAAAAATTTTCAGTCCCATTCCTAAGGTGAGGGTGCATTTATCCTATAACGAATTAAGGGTTGAGTTATATACTCTTAATGAAATATGTAGTTCATAGAGTGGGGTGTCTTAGTTATGGGAGCACTCTTGACAAATTTCACCTATGTGGGTGTCGAAGTGAGGCTGCTTCTATGAAAATTTGATGGGCAATTTTCTAGATCACACATGAATACTGGGATCATGCGCAAAGCCATAATGCGCTAGCTATGTGAAAAACTCAACATTCTGATCATTACGTGTGTGATGCAATTCTTGTATCTTCCAATGGGGTCATAGTTCAAGACTTAGTTCACGACTTAGTTCACTTTAGATTAAGAATTGTTGACTCACTAAGTAAAAGTTCAAGGTTTAGCTACTTTTATCATGCATGATAATCCATCTTCACCCAAAAGAAAGATTTATTTTTATTAAAATAGTGAGGGAATTGTTGGAACTTAAATATTTTAATAAAAAATAAAATAATAAATTTTATAAATTAAATTTATTGTACCATTAAGAATTTGATCAAACTAACCGTCATAGATTAATTGTCCTATTTAAGGGCACATTATTTTATAATAATTGCATAATTTATTCTTATCATTAACCTATAAATGTGAGTTACAAGATCATGAGTTCTATAAATAGTATATGTCTATTTGCTCAAAGCAGAGAGTTCCTCCACATTCTCCTATTTTCCTTACTTTACTTTATCTTTTAAATATTATTAGGCAAAGAAAAGCGTTTTGAGTTAGGTGACTCTATGAATAGTGCAGAGTCGTAGAGTGTTATTATAAAACTGTAGTATCTTGGAGGCGACATGCTAAATATATCTCTATTGCACCAGTTGATCTACTCTCTGCAAAATCATGAATTGCCTTAAAGTAAGTAAGTTTTTTACGCCTATTTTAGTAATATTTTCTTATTAATATTTTCTGATAAGTTCACTAATTATTATTTTATTTAATATTGTGATTGATGCACAACAATAACATGATATGGAGATGGAGGAGAGTGTTCGAGAAACAACAATACATACATACATACATATATATATATATATCAAGAGGCACATTCTTGTCCATGTTACATCAACTTCCATTGCATGATTGGGTTGAATGGATTGA